GACAGTATAGTAAATGATTTTAAATGCAGGATACTTTAGATTTCTATTCTATTTCTTCATTTCACATGACCTACTTTTTATAATTGCTGAAAATCATTTTGAGGAATACACATAAATATTGTAAAATTGGATTGGCACATAGATAATTTAACGGCTGAATAAAAATAGGTTAATAATTTCATGTTCAAAATATTTGAAGAAAATTCACCTGCAACCGCAGGCTTTTAGTGGAGTGATTTGAAGAAGTCACTCATATCCTTTTTTCAACATTAGTATCTGTGATGCTCAGGCTCAGATTTTCTACTCCGAAGGATACAGGACTGAGAGTGTATATTTGAGGCAGTTTATTTCGTTCGAAAATCATTCACTAGCATTATCAATTATTTAAACTAAGATTACATCACATTCAGACTCCGAAATGATTACACGCTTTCGCATCTGTGCAGTAGTTAGATCAGGAGACAACAGTTTAATTTTTTCTAACTGACAGAGGGATACAAGTCCACAAAATGAAACACTTCATGAATCATTTATGCAAATATCAGTTTACTGTCAACGCTAAACAGTTTTGAGAACCACCTAAGACAGATAATTCAGAAAATCTGTCAGAAATGTCATACCCAATGTTAAGTAATTTTAAAAAAGTGCTGATGAAAAATGATACTAAGTGTCTGATGATGCTTGTAAGGTAATTTTTTGGCGATCACAGTGGGCGAATCGCTCTGCGATAAAATACTATCCGGTGTGGAAATATTGGAAAAATATGAAAAGCTCGAAAAAAATCTTCATTTTACTTATTTTAAATATGACAATCATTTTTTGTAATTATTTTTGAACAGTGCCACACAGTGAGTATGCAGCTTACGACGCCAACAACTATAATTCAGAGATGACTAAGTCATCCCCTTCAGGAAACCATAAATTGTGCATTTAAGCAGTCATCAGCAACACGTGAGTGAAATTTCGAGGACACATACGCTTCCTTCTTGTTTTAAACTAACCTCACTCAGTATCGTAGTAAAGGCCTTTGCCAATAAATTATCCAAGCCACAATTGCCTTACTTTACAACCAGATTATGCAGGTGGAGATAAGATTATTCCTCCATCAACCCAATTTAGGCATTGGATCAACGGACGTGACAATAATACTCATTATTTCATATAACAATTAGAACCTTAAGGTTTGGATCCTAAGTGGTGCTCACTTGTCAATTTACAAACAGAATCAAAATCGTGAGGTCAAATATCTTTGACCTCCCCTCTTGAAATACATGGGCAATTAAAAATCCTGGTTATTCGCAACAGTATTATTGGATTTCAAGTAGTCTTCAATCCTGACTGATAAGTGACTGAACGAAAAGAATATTTTCAACGAATTTATTACCGAACGGTAATTATATATATATATATATATTTTTATATATTTTTGATTTACAGCTTGATTCCACACTGTATTTTTGGTACAAGTATGAAATTTTCAGCATGGATGTCGGTAGCCCAAATTTTGCAGGCCAACCATAGATATCAGGTGTGCGTCGGCGGGGGTTCGAACCTCGGACCATGTTCATGGTCGGCAAGAGTCCTAACCACTGCGCCACCGACTAAAATAACATGAATCACCAAAATTACTTGTGACTATAGTCAGTTAAACGTCGAGCGACAATATAATTCGTGTAATTTAGAAAATAGTTTATGAAATGTAAAAGATTTAAGGAACAGTATAGAAGGATCTCATAATCTCTACAAAGGACATTTACGTTTGAGATTGTCATTATCCGGTTGACCAATAATATTTAATAACCTGAAGGAAACTTGGACACTGTGGTAGAGAATTATTTCATTATGGACAGAATTTTATTTTGATAAAATCACACAGTCTTATGTAGTAAGGAACTCACCTTGATATGATTATGAACAATAATTTGTGCTTGAAACGTCATCAGTTAATATTACTGCATAACACTGTGTGATTTTATCAAAATAAAATTTTATCCATAGTGGAACCTGAAGGAAAGGTCGTTGTGTTACATATTTCCACGTATGTTTGAGTAGTTCAGCTGCTTCTGTGTAGCTGGATATATCAATCGTCCAAAGAGGTTTTTTCGGAAAGCGAGCAAAAACATTATCATGCATAGTCATAAAGAGGTAAACGTCTGGTTGACATTGTAATCTCCGAAGCTGTGTTTATCAATACAAAACTGCCAACGAATATGATATGACGTTTTATTCAAACGGTTTAAATTTTCTGAGTTATTCAACTGTTTAATCAATTTTTCGCACATATTTGATACCCTGAGTGACACAAACAAAAGTGTTATGAATCCAATAAAATAATCATTGACAAATTCAAGTATTGGTTTGTAGGGATTTGATTGATTGGTTACAGGATTTCATCATGAGCTGACATCAGTCAGAGAACCATTGGAAAACCTGGGAGTACTGGACAGCTGTTTCGTCCTAATTTCGAACTCTTCATCAGTACGCACCCATCGGGGTTCGAAACCAGGACCTTCTGGTTACGAGGCGAGCTCGTAGACCACTAAGCAATTAGGACCCGATTCAATGTCTTAATGGTATACGAGCACGCCTTGTAATCAGAAGGTCTTGGGTTCGAACCTCGATGGGTGCGTACTGATGAAGAGTTCGAAATTAGGACGAAACAGCTGTCCAGTACTCCCAGGTTTTCCAATGGTTCTCTAACTAATGTCAGCTCATGATGAAATCCTGCAGCCAATCATTGACGTAGTTGGAGCCTAAAGATACCAGCTTGAAGTACAGAAGCAGAATTTTTTTAACAGTATAAAATGAATTTAATTGGTGGATGCTGGCTAACAGTGGAATCCCGAAGGCTTACTTCGTCCTATTTGGGACTCGTCATCTGGATGTAATAATTAAATGTCCAGACACAGTCGAAGCATCTGCACAAGAAACCGACATGTCAACCTGAGACCGAGCACTTCGGTGCAATCAAACGATGGGAAAATCAAAAATTCAATTAAGTCTTAAATGAATCTCCCTTAAAAGGAATATTGCAAGAAACGTTTGAAGTCTAAACCACAATATTACAATGAAGAGACATTGTTAATTACACCATTTAATTCACATGCTTAATTCTATAACACAACATTCTTAAGATACTGAAGACTGTGTTATGGAGATCTAAAGAGTGTACACTTACATCGACAGATAAACAGTCAAGTAAGACTTTGAACTCTGTTCCATATTATGCGTCGCCATTAAGTCACTAGGTGATATGTTGATGTTGTTTGCATGAAAATTACGGATATTTTCTGGATAAGAGAAACACTATATAAGTGTCACAATGGTCGATTCACACTCATAAAGCAGTTCATTCTCCACATAATTAGTGATTCTGTGACTATAGTGCACACACACACATATTGGTGAATGTGGAAGAATAGTTCAGTCGTATTCACTTTCTGAACAGCACGGTGTTACCAATTCACCACTGATACAATATTGATTTATGTTAGAATTACATGATTCAAAATCCCCTACGAAAGAAATCTGATATACAATATAGTGTGGGAAGTGCACATAGGTGATTATGACAAAAATACTTTGAATAGGGAAGTAGTGTTTGGTTAATGGGCAGATTCGAGAGGATGGATATCTGCTTCCCTTCTTGAGTGCAGAGCTTAACGAGGTAAAGTGTTACAATATCAGGTATCTGAAGGAGACATGAAAAGCATTAACAGCATTCGCAGTTGAATTACTTGATGTAGAGCAACAAATACTATGGTAGGGTTTCCATGGTTATCTATCTCTTCTATGTGAAACTTCTGACGAATATAAGGTGTCTTCTTTGAAGGGTAATAATGTTCTCATTTTAAAAACCACCTAACTATTCTGACTCAGACATTAAATGCACAGAAATTAACTAATCCATATATTGGCGATACAATGTCCAGATTACTTAAGGTTGCTTTAATGATTCACCAGAGAACGACGTTTAAGAGACTGGCACAAGTGTTATCACTGGAATCATATTATGAATGCTGTCATCTGTTTCGAATCCGAAAATCAGAATGACAGATTGTGATCACAGTATTAGGTATTCATTTGATGATGAATGTAGCTATAAGAAGTGCGACAAATGAATATCCGATCTGTGCTCGTCATCTCATCCTCCAAAATTGTCTACAGTGTCAAAAATATCTAGGATGAATCTTTATTTATGCGCCTCATCTGTATTGATAACGCTCTGGTCATGGAATGAGAAATGCCAGAGTTCTATAAACAGGAGATGTTTGATCAATCGCTCCTCCTATCATGGCGGTTATTACTTGTCAATGTCAAATAGTCGTAGTCTTCATTTCTATCCCATGGTTTCGAACCCCGATGGGTGCGTACTGATGAAGAGTTCGAAATTAGGACGAAACAGCTGTCCAGTACTCCCAGGTTTTCCAATGGTTCTCTGACTGATGTCAGCTCATGATGAAATCCTGTAACCAATCAATCAAATCCCTACCAACCAACACTTAAATAAAATAACTACTTTTCATTATTTTGGTTGATTTAAACACGATTATCTGCAAACTGAGTTCATTGTGTTGTTTCATAGGACTACTTTTAAATCATTCTTATTTATCCGGATATTTGCTAATTACAGCGAAAGCAGTTTTTGGAAATACTTCATTTTGGATGTGAGTAAAAGTAGGCGTTTTCCTCCTATATGTATGTTGAAATCTATGGACCTCCAAACTGCTGGAAAAAAAGAACACTATGCCCAGACCATATAAGTAGTTCTTATCCTTGGTAACCAAAAAAATATGAGAAAGCTTCTAAAATTGTGTACGTCACCAATCATTCCGTCTCTCTGACTGACTGTATTTGGTACTTAAAGTGTCAGTTTTATCGTATTGTATTGTAACTGGTTAGGGTATTAAACAGGTTCATTAATTTTATGTCTAAGCTCTATTTATCTTAATTATTTCTCGCCTGCATTCTAAGGTATAAAAATAACATTGAAATACACGTGAGTACAAAACGTTTATTTAAAAAACACAAGTGGAATTTATTCACAGGTTATAATTATATGCAGAAAATGTCTTCTTGACATTTCTCGTTAAGAATTCGTTTTCTAAATCAGTGGAATTCATTAAGTTTGTTAACGCATAATTCAAAATCAATCTGTGAATAACTGATTATCAGACAATATCATTAAGCGAGAACATTTTTGACTTCATATATGATAATATTGCGTTTGATCATACAATAGGAAATTGAGTGCTTGTTTATCATTCTGCAAACATTACTGAAATGTACATGTCGAAAATCAGCTGTTCACTGAATTTAGGTTCCCATTACCAAGTGATGCCAGTCTTGACTATTTTCTCGCTTCTAAATTGACATCATCTTCATCGTAAGATGAGGATAAAACAGGTTCATTGGGACAAAACTCTGGTGGAGGTTTACCATCATATCCTTCGTATCCATATTCTAGTACTTGATCTAATCTTATCGCGGGATTATGCTGACGATCAAAACATTCCCACGGAGGTATATCTGTTGTCTTCTGTCCGTAGGCTCGAGCAGTTACATTAGGATCAGACAAAGTATCAGAATTCCCATTCATATCTGAAAGTAAAAAAACGTAGATGATGAATAAGGTAGCCTACTCAACCCTTGTTTATTATATTATTATACTGTCGAATATATCATTAAAAAACGTAGGCATTCAAATATTTACGGCTAACTTTGACTGTAGGCCTGATTGCGTCTTTCCACAAACCATTATCGACCCATTTAAAATTAGTAGACAGAAGACAAGTAGTTCAGCGAAGAGTCTCTTTTCGGCGAATTCATTTTCATAGCTGTACAATCGCAAATATATATGGTTATTTTGTGTGTGTATACATTAAATTTGTCAAACGAAAATACAATTAGTAGGTTCAGATGAATTGGGTGTTGATAAGAGGATAGCAACAAAAGTGATGAGTTGTCAAAAACGATTGTTAAATAAGAGTTACGTAATGGCATGAATAGTTTGATGAATGAGTTGTGCTCAAAGGGTGTACATGGAAACAAAATAATATACAGAATTACACAAGGGTTTTAAGTTAGAAAAATAAGCATACAAACAGAAGTAAGGTCAAATCAAACAAACAAAGAAAAGTTAGGTCAAATCAAAGGAGTAGTTACCATGCGAGTAGAAGTGGTTGGATAATTTTCTTTTGTATGCATAGTTCTGGTTCCTCCGACTGGATGGCTAGGGCTTCTGCGATGCAAAGAAGACGGAATCGTACTGTCTTTGGAAGGTTGTTCTTCACTTTGTAGATTACTTTGAAGGAGGCGTTCGTTGAGATGGAATGACCAGTATTGACGAGATGTTCGATTATTGCACTCCTTATATGGCCATTATTTCCTTTCTGTAGCCACGCTGGATAGTGTTCTTTTACCCTTTTAGACAGGATGCGCGTTGAACGACCGATGTACCATTTAAAATTTCAGTAAATCACATACTTTTACTTTCAGTAAGCGTCAGCTTTACGTGAATTTATCCCCCTTGTTACGGCTACAGTTAAACACTGAAAGCAATATTTCAGCTAAAACCTTACGCAGTGTTTTTGTATTTGTCAAAAATGGTATCTTAATTCCCATAGGTATTGGGAACTGTAATTTTTATTAATATAAAAACTTTCCCCTACTTTTCAGCCAAATAATCTTCACATATTAGACGTCACGTAAGAATTCACAAGAGATGAACAGCAGTAATCGACTGATTAATTTTGGTCTTAGACAAATAAGTAGTAAAAACAAAATGTTAAAAAAAAGGAACCTGGCTATTTCGAACTTTTTGATTATCATTTTTATCAGCACCGCTTGGTCCATATCCCTAGGCATTTTCTAATGAATAATGCTTGCTGGTATAAACAGCAGTTGTTTGGGGCCAAGCTCATTAACTGTCTTTCCAGTTTGACTCAGATTATTAAGCCAAGTCAGTTGAGACTAAATGAATTCTGGTGAGCTAATTGGGTGACCTGGTGATACGTTGAATCAAATCCGCAATTTGTATATTAGCTGAAGAATTGCAGTTTGTACTGTTTAAGGCTCACGTTCCCCATATTCCCCCTTGGTAACGGAATTTATTCACATCACAATATGGGGAAGATCCTCATTCAGACATTTAGAAGACAAAAGGTAAATAACAATGTATTAACTGCCTGATAGCATAAAGCACTACTTATATCATTCGATCAGTAATATATAGCGTCATGCATTTTTTGTTTACTTTTTGTACTGTCATTTATGGTATCAGGCAAATCGTATATTGTGATGTCAATAATTTCGGCTTCTAAAGGAATCTGTGGGGAAATTGCACCCTGAACTGTGTAAATCGCATTTCGTGAATCAGTTTGCAAATCGCAAATTTTAATTTTCTAATGAATTGTGTCACTGAATGCACATTTTTAGTGGCAATTTCACTAACTGCAAAAATCGTAACATTCTGGTACAATTTAACGATATTGGTTTTGCAATGGCTGTTTCCTTGGTAGTAGAACTGAATAAGGTTCACTTTTGTAATAATACAGTAGTCACATAATCCTTATTGAAGAAATTCGGTTAGTATAAATCTTAGTTTTAGTATTTGTGAGACCAACTCTTCATTGTAAGACATCTGTTTATTTCAGAATGAAAATGGCAACTTGTTAGCCCACCGTGCAATCGACTATCGGAACTTTCACTTGGATGGTTATTGACTATGTGGCTATGACAAACAAACGTCATAGGAAAATTACTGTAAACTGACAACAACTATTGTCCACTTTTGCTGATCGTCATCAGTTATTAAAAATATTACTACAAATGAGACGACTGAATGGCGATAACAAAAATAAATTAAAGGTGTACATGTTAAAATAATCCGAAACAGTAAATAGCTAGGAAAATATTATTATTATTCAACCTTCAGTATGCCAACATACCTGACTTAATGCCTGAAGGAATGAATCCATTACTTGGAAAGGAATCACTGTTCACTTTATATCCATCTGAGTTATAGTTTCTCTTCAAGACAGAATAATCAATAGGTCCTTGAAAATCTTTCTCGCCTAAAATACATTCCAAGAGACAGTTTGCATTTGCAACAATTTTTTGTGACTAGTTAAGTTTATTTTATTAAAAGATATAAAAGAAAATGTATCCAAATGATCGCTTCACAGTCAAGCTAGTAATAAATTTAATTTTATGAGTGTAATTAATCCTATCACTGTACAAAATGCATAAGTTGTATTTTCATTCAACTTAACCGACTAGGATAAATATGTGCATGAAGCTGAACCTAGAGACTGAATGTAACCACTTTGTTTCACTTAGGCGGACACATCATAATCTTTTTAAAATAATCAGGAAAGTTATTCCTCAAATTTATCACTTAAATATATTCAGGAAAGAAACAAATAGGGAACACACTATGTCAGTACCACTTTATAGAGATATCAACTCAAAACTCGGAATCTGGCTGACAAGAAGTTCAGTCAACTGTCATAGGTGTATTTGTTTCCAGATGTCTATTAGTCTACTTCACTAATATGCTATAATACGTCGGTGGCATAGTGGTTGGGACGCTCGCCGACCATGAACATGGTGCGGGGTTTGATCACCGGCCGACTCCCTCCTTGATCTCGCTAATCCAGAAATAATGCTGGTAAAGAGGAAAGGGTGGGCATGAGGCTAGCAGCCCTATCCTGTAAAATTAAACACTGCTACAGAAAATTCAAGCAACTAGCTTGAGACCCTATGTTCCACTGGGAACGTGAAGAAAAAAACTAATATACTGCACTACTATATCTTGACTGATCAAGGTAAATAAGTAGATGAATGCATTCAAGAAGAGGATACTTCTTTCATTTTATAGTTGTAACTAAGAAATCACACCATTTTTAAAGAAAATGATTGTTATAGCATATATATATATATTTATATGACTTTGGCTCCAGATATCTGTCTTCGCTTCTTGCTTACCAATGACAACGAAACACTAATCTTAACCTTTACGTCATGTAAGCTGAGGACGGAGTTTCCCTCTAATTTACGACTGATATATTTAGGTGTGAAAGTGAACAAACAAGTCGTTTTCTGAGCAATGTTCAAAGGTGAGTCTACGTTTCTCCTATTCCAAAACATTTCGACTAATATTTTAAAGAAACACAGAAAGTTATAACTAGTTAAGTAAAGTAGCATCTTTTGAAACTTCTAAAACATGCCTCATAGCCACAGGTTTGGTGTCAAAGAGCATTTGCATATTATGCATAATTAATCGGTAAGAGCAAAAAGAAAGCATGTAGCAAACATTATATCCTCACATAGAAAACTTGTGGTTCCACATAATTTTTTCCAGTTATTTACCAGCGAAATTATAGAATATATTTAAATTAGAAGCTTTTATATTCTTTAGAAGTTTGCATTATTATTGAAAAACAACTAACAAAAGGTTAGATTATATTATTCACCGAATACATCTCAATGTTATGAGTCACTAGGTAAAATAATTCGCTTTCTTGATTTTTTTTTAATTTTAAATGGATTGTCACAGCATTATTCCACAGTAAGATAATCAGTAAGATGCAAGATGGAAGTAATGCTCTCTGAGCATTTTTACCCTCGTTCGTTGTGCACAAAGGGTTCATTCTAATGCAACCATACAAAAGTTTGCTCACAGATTACTGAGAATCCCAAAATACATAAGGACCATAATTACTTCTGCAGCTATTTTGTATGGATATTTCACCGTATTAAATATTATTCATGAATCTGTTTAATTACTGAAACTAAGGTACTTCCCCTTCGAAAACACTAAATTAACTGATGGGACGTTGTACTAACAAAGGATGACGTCAAATTGAATATATGTGATTGTCAGTATTTCACTTCAAGCTAATTATCCTTCCTAAGTACATTAGAAAATCGGGTCCCAGTGGCTGAATGGTAAACTAGCTTGCCTTGTAACTGGAAGATCCTGGGTTCGTACTGTCAGTGACTCCCAAACTAGAATTAAACAGCTGTCCAGTACTCCCTGGCTGTCAATGGTTCTCTAACTGATATCAATCCGTGATCAAACTCGAAGAAGCAAATCTAATCCTCACAGACCAACTCTTGAAAACATTAGAGTATATAAAGCTCTAACTACACTTCTTAAACTGCAAAGAAGAGAACAGATTATTCAATTCATAAAATATATCAAAAACATATGTATGATAAGCCTATTCATTTGTATATATATTTTATATTATAAACATTTTACCTGTACTCCATGGATCATTGGTATGACTCTCAATTCCCAGTTGTTGATCACTTAGACCGCTACTGAAATCAATTAAATTCGACTTCTTTTTCTGCCGCCGTTTACAGCAGCAAATTGTTATAAGTAAAGCTGTGATTACTGTATTTGACAAAAGAAACACGTAAATTAAAAAGCATGTAAGAATGAAGAATACTGTAAACACGCCAGTTGTCTTTAAGTAATTGTAGACGTTTTCATTAACATAAGGGTTTACCTGTTGAAACATCTGCGGGAAAAAAATCCACATCTATATGTCCAAACCAAGTTCACTTTTAACAGATTGAAAAAATGTGGGTATTGGGTATATGATATTCATTATAATAAAGGTTTTTTGTATTTCTCCATGAATGAAAAACAAAACGATATTGTTCTTACTGACGTTTCACATCTTAATGCTATTAGCTTTATCAAAGTATTATTGAACCAGAATTTACAAAATTTCAGCCTATATATAACAACTTAATCATAGTTCCTCAGTATGGGGTCACTTTTGCGCTGTCAAGTTGCCCAATTGGTAAAGATAACAAAACCAGGTGTAGATCGTTGGACTTGATAAGTGTGTAAAATTAAAAAAGCAGCATGTGTTTACATAATGAAATTACTTATCACATTTGTGTTGATTTTGTCACTTCACGGGGGAGACGGATGTTGTAACCAGATCAAATTCTGTTTTAGTCCATCATTCCTATTCACAGAATTTGGATTTCACTAGATATGAAGTGCTTCTGATATCAGACGTTCTTTGTGATTTCTGAAATTTTTCTGGGTTATTTCAATATTGTCAAAATCAATTTTGTGGCCTGATTCTTTAGCGTGTAGACGACCTATGGCTGATGATTCTTCAAGCTTTTCTAGTTCAATTAAATTTTTTGGTGGTCGAACAGATTCTCTGTGGTGTTCATTTCTTCTGATTTTGATTTATGTCTGGTGATGTTTGTCTGATGTATATTGTATCACATTCCAAGGATTTTGTTTTATAGACAAAATAAGATAGAGAATCTTTAGAGATTTGGTCTTTTATATGGAAAAGGTTTTTTTGAAGTGTGTCTGATGTTTTGAAGAAAACTCTAATGTAGAGCTGACTGAGTACTCTTCTGATATCATCTGACATCTCCGCTCTATGTGGAATGATAACTGTTGAGTCCACGTTTCGGAACATATTTTTGACCATACATAATGTCAGTGTTGATTTTGTTGATGAAGTTCCTTAGGTAGTTGTTTTGCTTGAGAGTTTCAGTAATGTCTGATACTTCTTTTTCTTTATCATCTGTTATCAAAGAGTGTGCTCATCTAAGGAGACTTGAAACAACTGATACCTCTGCGCTGATGGGGTGTGACGATTGGAAGTCTAAATATTTGTTGGTGTGAGTTTTCTTCCCGAATATGGATATACCAAAATGTCCGTTTTCGCTCCCGCTAACTAGGCAGGCAGTCTAGAAATGTTAGTCCACTGACGTCTAATTATGCTTTCGAAGTGAACTGGATTCCGGAAGATAGATTGTTTAGTTTCTCCAAGAATGAAATGTGTAGATCTCGTTTTAACACTACAGTCGTTTTTTTTATTCATTGGGAAATACAAAAAAACCTTTATTATAATAAAGAAATCCATGTGATAAAGAGTCAAAAACTCATCGTCAGCATCATATTATGCTGGCAACATAGCTGCTATGCATTTCATGAAAAGAGATGTTTTGCGATTCACGAAGCTAAGCTAAGAATAAAAGATAGCTTGCCTAATTGTACAGCTGGAAGTGTTGTCTTGCTGAAGCCCTATGTTCCTCTAGGAACTAAAGGATATAATAATAATGATAAGTGCTGTTTTGTCATAAAAGCTGGGTTTTTTAAGATATATACTTATTTTTTTGTGCACATTCACTGCATAAGGTAGCATATCACTTGATGGTCGCAAGTCTAATTTAGCTATCCTGATCCACAGTCTGAAAAATGTGACTTCATTGAACAATGACTTCTACAAAAACCCATATTTGCAGCCACCATTCGCATCCTGAAATGACTTCCCAAGTAAAAATCTCTAGGGATTTTCATTATCATGAAAGTCTAACTGTTAAGATTAGAATTCTATAAACACATTGATTTAAATTAATTTTAAAAGCACTACGTGCTGTTGATTATTTAAAATATTAAGCTACCTTTGAAACTAAAGAGAGCTAGCTATGAAATCCGTCCAATGTATACTTTAAATCTCACTATCAAATCTAAGGGTTTTCCTGTATGCTAATAAAGGCTGATTTCAGTTAGTTTTTGAAGTCAGTTGATTATATAGCCACTCTGATGTTTTATTAAATTTAGCTTTGTTTTATTTGGCTATTCTTTGTTCACCTAAAATAGAAATCTCAAAATCTATGACAGATTCTGCGTGAAGGTAGATATTTTGAATATTTGCAAGCTGGTTGTTGAATGACACCAATCTTCTTGATATGAATTTGTCAATGAAGTAAGAAAGGTGGTAACTAAGGTAAGTGACATGACACAGTCGCAAATTCCAGTGTACAGTAATTTCACGTAACATAGCGCTACATATATATATATATATATATACATATGTTTCATGCATTCAAACAAACCTGACCAATCTCTTTTAGTCAGCGCATCAAGTACATATTTGTCATTACTGAGATAAATGACAACATCAAACACAATCTAACTTAAATAATTTCATTCTCATATTTTATTTTCCATCCTCGCTGTAAGTACACTTGCCGTTGCTAGCATTACTAACAAAAACGTTTGCTTACAACTTTTGCATTTTTATGCAAAGTACGTTACTACGTTTCGTTTTTCCACCCACTGTGTGACATTTAAGGCTCTTCACAACTACTGTATTCTATTTTATGTATTCACATGTGTACATAGTATATGATAACTAATACTAAAACTCTGATTGGCATAGATTATGGACACGGTATTGACGCTATTTAGGCTTCTGCACTAATCAGCAAACAGTGAAGAGAAGATTGTGAAAGTTTGTGTGATCTGAGGTCATACACCGAGTCCATACTGTTTAGTTGGAAATGTTAGTTACTTCAAACCAATCATTGGAGAGTGTCTCGTCCACTGTGAAATTGTTTATTGTTTTTTACTTGCTTTTCTCAGTGTATTAATCTTTTTGACCATTCTTATTCACCTTGGAGACAAACGGCTTATTGAAAACAATTACTGCTTACCCTAAAATCCTTGTTACAAGGATTCTCATTCTCATTGGTCTCAATGTCTCCATCCCTACCTAATTTTACGCTGTTATCAAGTTTTCCAATAGAGTTTACCCTGCTTTACTCAAAACTATGTCTTTCCTATCAGTTTCAAAATCATTATTACCTCCATTATTATTAGTAGTAGTATCTGTATTATCACAGGTATGATTATATCTTAACTAAATGCTTGGTTCATTTTAGCTGTGCAATGTTATTAAGCACTAGTTCCGATTAATAACTGTTGTGCCCTAAATGACATAATTCACTTATAGTCATCCCAATCTTCACTCCCAGTTTACAGACAATCTCATGTGATCTGTATAAGTTATTCACATTGCGTTGTCATTATTCATCCAATTTCTAGGTCTGTATTATGTATTTATGTGTTCCTGCATTCCTTAACATCTTATAAAATCGAATATATGTTAAATATGCAGCTGATGTGTTTTCCTGAAATATTTGAACTTAATTATTCCTTTCTTTATAATTTCTGTTGTGTGTTCTTAGTTAGTTTCAGGAAACAAGTGCTTTTAACAGAAGCCTTATGTGTCCAATCAAATAAGAAAATGTGTAGGAGAAGTGATCCACTTTGTGTTAGGATTATTCCCTGCTAGATGAAGTAAACGATCTGGTACTATAAAGTCAGATTTTAAAATTGTGAAGTTATATTTGCGATTTTGTTGCAGAGCTTATTCAGCAAAAAGTATTATTTCACTTTCGCATTTGTGAAATATATTAGCTTTTATGAAATAAACGAAACGGCTTTAAGATAAACAAATATGAAGCGTATAAAAGTGGTACTCACATAAGACTACCAACAGCAGGACAACCAGTAGTATCCACCACCAACTAAGGCCTGCGGCACTCACACCTAATACCTGATCGCAGAGAGGTCCAGTCCACATTCCAAAACAAATACAGGTGAAATTGTCAGTTCCATTTACAACACGACATTCACCATTAACGCATGGATTAGGAAAACACTGGAATGGGACACACTTCCCCTTATCATTTCTCACCGTCTTGTTTACACATCTGAAATAGTTTAGAAATACACAATAAAACTACCATAAGCGTCACCACTTTGAAACAAAATCATTTGAATTTCCTTTGTTGTCTAAATCGTATCATAAAGGCAATCCATGTTTGAAGGTTGATCACAAACTCATATCATTTAGTGAACCGTCGAAAACCAGAAAGTGTTCTATCCTGACTTGGAATTCCTCACTAGAACGCACCTATGACTTCACGAAGGACAGAACCTAAGACCTTGGGTGTACGAGGTGAGCTAGTTGATTATCTACATTATCGTGAACTTAACTCAACTAGAAACCCAACATCTTTTCACATACCCTGCTGATCCGTTTAAATGTTATTCATATGAGAATGCTGACACTGAGTGCTCAATATAAATTAGTATTTTAAACGCATTATTAAGAACTACATACAAGTATAGTACGTTACACTGAAAAATAGTTCAAAGTAGAGAGGATTGTCTTTGCTACTATTTTAAAATGTTTATAGTTGAGCTCGAATCCAGTTGCTTGTCACAATCCTTGTTTATGTAACCATTTACTCATTCTCTTTTCCCTAAGCTGTAAAAGATAATTTTATTGGACAACACCCCCTAATATCTACAATAAACACCGTAAAATATTGGTGAAATACGCTGTTTAAGCATCTCTTGTTTTGATTGCGATAAATGCTTTTTTTATTTAGCACACAAATGAACACAAAGAAATTTCTTAGGGAAATATCAATTCATGAATTAATCCTCATGTGAAAGTTGTTGATATACGACCTAAAGTTTCTAAAAAACCAGAATGGTAAAATCGATTTCCCAGTCGAATTTTCGATTCAAAGATCTATAGTAAAATTTTCAGTGAATTAAACCATGCATGCTATACATACACGGAAGTGAAATCAGGACCTCTACATGTTCAGGAGACTTAACGTGTAACAAATAGTATTTTCATCAGGCTACAGACTTTTCCAAGCTGATGCTTTCACTCGAAACTGAACGTCACATGGCCTATGATTAGACGCTAGCTAGTATCATTCCTCCAGTCATCTATTAACAGATTGCCTGCTAGAAGAGATAATTAACAAGAAACTTTGGTAAAGAGCAAACCAAGAACCTGTTGGCCAACAAATTTGCCGAATAAAATGGAGATGGATTGGAAAGACACTAAGGAGACCGATAAGTGACATTGACTGTTACAACTTCGGGTTGAACCTCAATGAAAAACGACAAGTTTTGTTTCTAGGGCTGTGTTAAAGGAGATAATGTGGGAAGGGTATGAAAGCTTATGGAAAATTGTGCACTTAGCTAAAGGTGATTACAGGGTATAGAACGAAATCGCCATGTGTCGCTGTAACTATATGTTCTACTCAGAACCCAAGGAAATATTAACTTTAGCAGCCAAAGAAGAAAACTAACATTTAAGAATTCCTACTGTGACCTATTACAGTACGGCAGGTCAAACAAGAGCCTGAAGCATGAAATTATATTTGCTTAAAATGGAAAGGATTCAGCGAATCGACTATTTTCACTAGACTGATTATTACACTTGCATATTAACGTACATGTTTTTTAATTGAAATGATAAAGTGAACTGAGGAAAAACATTTGTAAATATAATCACAGTTAAACATCAAGCGACTGAATAGATCATGTAATTTGCAAAATAGTTCATCGAATGTGTGAATGTTAAAATAGGGTGTGGAATCACCAAGATACGTGTACAATTAAGACATCAAGTAACAAGGTGAGAACTTCGACAAGATATTACTTCAAAAGGAGCCATATTGAATTATATCGATAAAGAGTGACGATTGGTATAATGACGCAAACTGCTGAAAGTAGAAATAGTGATATCAATTGAAATAATTAGGCATGAACACATGAATTGAACGAACGAGATGCGGAACTTAATACAATCGAGATAGAAATGAAGACTACGACTATTTGACATTGACAGGTAATAACCGCCATGATAGGAGGAGCGATTGATCAATCATCTAATGTTTATAGAACTCTGGAATTTCTCATTCCATGACCAGAGCGTTATCAATACAGATGAGGCGCATAAATAAAGATTCATCCTGGTTATTTTTGACACTGTAGACAATTTTGGAGGATGAGATGACGAGCACAGATCGGATATTCATTTGTCGCACTTCTTATAGCTACATTCATCATCAAATGAATACCTAATACTGTGATCACAATCTGTCATTCTGATTTTCGGATTCGAAACAGATGACAGCATTCATAATATGATTCCAGTGATAACACTTGTGCCGGTCTCTTAAACGTCGTTCTCTGGTGAATCATTAAAGCAACCTTAAGTAATCTGGACATTGTATCGCCAATATATGGATTAGTTAATTTCTGTGCATTTAATGTCTGAGTCAGAATAGTTAGGTAGTTTTTAAAATGAGAACATTATTACCCTTCAAAGAAGACACCTTATATTCGTCAGAAGTTTCACATAGAAGAAATAGATAACCATGGAAACCCTACCATAGTATTTGTTGCTCTACATCAAGTAATTCAACTGCAAATGCTGTTAATCCTTTTCATGTCTCCTTCAGATACCTGATATTGTAACACTTTACCTCGTTAAGCTCTGCACTCAAGAAGGGAAGCAGATATCCATCCTCTCGAATCTGCCCATTAACCAAACACTACTTCCCTATTCAAAGTATTTTTGTCATAATCACCTATGTGCACTTCCCACACTATATTGTATATCAGATTTCTTTCGTAGGGGATTTTGAATCATGTAATTCTAACATAAATCAATATTGTATCAGTGGTGAATTGGTAACACCGTGCTGTTCAGAAAGTGAATACGACTGAACTATTCTTCCACATTCACCAATATGTGTGTGTGTGCACTATAGTCACAGAATCACTAATTATGTGGAGAATGAACTGCTTTATGAGTGTGAATCGACCATTGTGACACTTATATAGTGTTTCTCTTATCCAGAAAATATCCGTAATTTTCATGCATACAACATCAACATATCAGCTAGTGACTTAATGGCGACGCATAATATGGAACAGAGTTCAAAGTCTTACTTGACTGTTTATCTGTCGATGTAAGTGTACACTCTTTAGATCTTCATAACACAGTCTTCAGTATCTTAAGAATGTTGTGTTATAGAATTGTGCATGTGAATTAAATGGTGTAATTAACAATGTCTCTTCATTGTAATATTTTGGCTTTACTTCAAAAGAATCAAGTAAACTTCATTTTTTCTAAAGAGTAAGCAAAATAATCTCTTGCATTATGGGTATAACTAGCTCACTAGTTTTCTAGCCGGTCCCAAGCCCAGATAAAGAGGGAGAGTTGGGGCGTTGTACTAGCAACTCCACCGCGAAAACTCAAGCAAACCGCTACAGAAACTTAAATGCACCAATATATTAAAAATTCTAAAAATATTACATATTCAGGGGGTTACATATTTTTCACAGTAGCGTAACAAAAAGTCGATATTAGAGATTAACGTGTACGCAAAATGATGATGTGACTTTTAACCTAAATGTAGACAATCTAAAATAAAATTTCGAGTGAATTGGATTGTTTATCTTGGTCATCATTTATTTTCGCCATTAAGTGTATGTCAAACAGACACATTTATTATAATATATAAAACACTTTAAAAGTAAACCTAGAAGACCTTTCTACATATTTTTCAAATAAAATAAATTTGTAATGCATAGAAACTTTGACGAATTTGACAATTTGTCTCGTTACCGATACAAACTCGGGTGGTGAAATTTAGTCATTTATTGTGAATTCGTGATAGTTTTGATAATTTCATTGTATGCTGTAAAAAACGGTGCAAGGCTATGATTGAAAAATACAGGCTGTTTGAAATATGACAAGTTAACCAAATGCGTGTGCGTAGAAGTACATACGTCTGATAATTTCAAAAACTGGGTCTTCTCTGCTTTCAGTAAGTTGTCGAGTCACTAGTAGCTGAATGTTATATATTTTTGAGCCAAAGTGCTATCCGTTACAGCCACATTTCGTTGACTAGCCCGTCCTAAATGGGAAGATTGACCCCCCTGCTAGCAGCAAACCGCGTAAAAGAAAGACAATTTCATTAAACTTATTTTACACATGAATCGGGGAGAATACTAAATTTGAGCAACAGTGACAGACAGCTTTCAGTGAGGCAGTTGAAGACACCCCCACTGTACTCACCTCTAAAAAGTCAGAGAAAGCAAGCAAAATCAACCGAAATACTTAGGTGTAACAAAAATGGTACACCCATGAGAATAGTGTGGGAGAAAATCCTCCGGACATCCTAAGGTGGAAGATGAAGTAGGACCAGGAAAACAGTATAAGATGGTAAAACAGAAAAAGAACCAGTACAAAGATGAAAAAGAAAAAGAGGAACTAAATACAGTGTACAGAGCGCCGAACAAAGGAATGCAGAAAAGCGCCAACAAAAACAAAAGTCACTTTTACGACACACCGTCAAATGAAGGGAGACAAGCTGCAGGAAAGTGAGGACTCATATTACAATACAACAGCCAGGATATCGAAGTTAGTCCAGTTATGAATGCGCTGAAACCCTGAGCTGACCATTACAAAAGAAATGCTCACGCCATTACTATAGAAGAAAGGGAGGGAAGGTAACTTCGAGGTGGGAGAGAGGGAAACTTAAGCCTATGCAAATACTGTGGCGGAATCATGTTCCTGTCCACTGCAAGTGAAATACTGAGCCACATTATCTTCGAAAATCTGAAAGATAGGGTGGATCGAAGACTTGAACTGGAACAGTGAGATCTAGCGCCAGACGGGTCCCAAGGGGAAAAGACGAAGTAGCTTTCCAAGAAAGATATGAGTAGATTATGTGAAGGAAAAATGAAAGCTTTCGAACGTCATGGTAGGAGACCAAGTGCCTCTGGGGCCTCATGCTTCACTAGGAAAGCAAATAATGAATGATAATTGTGACAATTATAAAATTAATCATTATGTGAACTTACTCGCAGCGGTAACCTCTCCACTCCTCTACACAGAGAGCAGTCTCGTCACAAAGTCCCTTGGATGTGTTGCAAAATGTGCTACCACTTGAACAACCTGACTGTCTACCTATACTTCCCCAATTTGTATACCTTGGGTAAGATGGATTACTGATTATTTCCAAGGGGTAGTCTTGTTCAAAATCAGGCCAGAGATTACGAAAATCTATCCACGCATCATCTAAACAAGCTGTGAAGTGGAAAGACAGTTAAAAACAGTGTATTCTGGTGGAAATAGAAGTCTGGATAAAAGATTTTATCCTTGTTAAAATGCTCCTAATTATCTGAAATATAGTGATAGAATAACTCTCAGAACAAATCTCTAACTCGTATAATCATTTTCTTCTCCATTTTACAGTTTTGCCTGTAGTAGACTCTGAGGTTTTTGAGAAATGCTGTAATAACGTAGTTAACTGTTAAATATTTTGTATATTATTGACATGAAGTCTAAAGACGACAGACAGGAAGCACTGCCACCCTTACAGTGAATGGCAGTGAAAAAACAGCCTAATCAAAATTTTTTATGATGTTAACAACTTTAGCCACTTACAAATAATTGTGAAATAAAAACAGGAGATATCATGCGATGAATTACTCCTTCCGGTTATATCATTTCCGAACTGTGCAATAGCAGTGTATAGTACACTTTCTCAGCAACATAAAAGATCCTTCCAAAGATGTGTCATCAAACGTCTGAGCTTCAAATAACAATCCACAGATTATAGAAAACTATATGTTACAAGGAAGATTAGTGAGATAAAGAGTTAAGGAAAATTAAACAAGGGAACTGAATGATTTAACTTAGTTGACAGGATTGAGTTACGCGTGGTACAGAGTAGTGGTTTAATCTTGAGAGAAGTGAATATAAACTAGGTCCACTGTGATTTTGATGACTAGACTAACCTCTTTTCTATGCACAGTTTCGGCTTTAGCATGATTTATCAAAACAGAGTTGCGAGAGGGCGCTTTCCTCGTATGTACGACCTCTCAGGTAAACGTTTGATAATGTTTTGAAAAGTATGGCCTACACTACTTGCCCTACAGAAGCAGATGAGTTGGTGGATAAGCACTGATGGGGTCAACAGTAGTGAATTAATTATGGAAAAAAAAAATTACATTCATAAGGGTTTTCGGTATCTAGGTAATTTATAAACTGCTCCATCGAGGAGAAAATACTGGCTAGAAGCTTCCAGTCCATTTAATGCTTTAGAAGTAGTCATTTCTCACTGCGTTTTTATGTTACATCACAGGCTTAACATCGTCTCAGAGAAACTTGGAATTCGTCGAGATAGATTACTAAAATATTCATCCGATTAACTACTTTGGTATTTTTATACGCAAAAGTAAAATTTTTGCATTTCTGGCTAATAGAAGAAAAATATTTTCACAAAATAATCGTCCTATGATGGTTGCAGAAAGTCATACAGAACTGATATGTGGTAAAAAAAACAACAAACGTGCCATCGATATCAACTAAATAAAACTCACTTTCTTTGGCCCCATTGGCAATTACTATGTCGACTGAACCTCTTGAAATTTGTTTTTCTGCAAAATACCGGGAATCGTAATATTGTTTGTCCAGTTCATCTAAACGCAGGTCTAAGAATCTTTTGAAAATAAAACAAACGAAAACATGTTTACCATAAAATGTCAACATTTTGCTGATGTGATACCTACAAATAACTTCAACTTTAAATTTGACTAATTTTCATAAATGCGCATTTCGTCGAAACTCTTGTGCTTTGAGTTCCATTTTACTGATACACATAAAGTAGTTATTTATTTGCAGTGTTAAGAGTAAAATTCACTCCATTTTAATATCATAATTATCTCAGATTAGTTAGCAAATCTCTATGTTATGCTCTGGTATACGTTAGTAAGTTTGGTAATAAATAACGTAGATGGTATATGCTTTTCTGGAGAATTGCGTTTCATTAAAAAAACTTTTAGTTGAAATCAAGTCAAATGATTCAACTCGAATTCATGCTTACAGCAGTTCTTTTTTTTCCTTCGCGTTCCCCAATGGAACATAGGGTTTCAAGCTAGCCTCATGCCCAACCGTTCCTCTTTACCAGTCTCCCTATTGGCTTAGCGAGTTATAGGAGTGCGTCGGCCGGGGATCTAACCCCGGACCATGTTCATGGTTAGCGAGCGTCCTAACCACTACGCCACCGACGCATATACGGCATTTCTAATACACCACAAATATACTCCAATGACAAGAGGAAGAACAGTAAAAAGCTAGAACTTATATCAAACACATTCCACGTATATGGCATATAAACTGAGCTAATAAAATTCAACAGATACTCTCTTGTTTAAAAGAACTTTTAAGGCAGGCAAATATGAAAGTAGATGTAGTTACAACGACTGTTGTGCACTTTTTATTTCCCGATGTAGCGCTTTCACGGTGGCTATATTTCTTAAGTTAGTCTGCCTGCGTAATCGAGAGAAATATGCGTATATTATTAGTCTAAATGTTGATTAATGAGCCCTTAGGGAATAGTTGCATTCAATCATTATTTATATGAGAATGAGCTTACTTACTTAACGTACTTCGAATGCAGTCTTTTCACAAAATTAAAACTGAGAGTGAATATTTTATTTTAAAAGCTTTTAATTACATACCTTGATGTAAATGTAACTTCGAACACGTGCCAGTTACCATCAGATACATTAGCTTCACCTAATGTAATTACGATATTATCGAAACGTAAGTCTGGTATTCCATCTGAAACCTAAAGGTAATGCAAAAACAGAGACAGAAAAGCATATAGGACATTACATTATATTAATATTATATTAATATATCACGGGGAATCGTAAATCCACTTGAAGAGGGCAGCAGAACATAGAACAAAGTGGATAATTTTAGTGGAAATCACATGTTCCACTTGGAACCCTAGGGAACAATAATAATAATATTATTATCGTGTTAAACAATACGTACATCCACAGTTTAAATCAATAACCTTAAAATAGTTATTACTAACTCAGTGTTGGGAGTTACTGAATCTAGAATGTTATTTAAGTAAGATAAAATTATGTTTCCTAATCTGTTTAGTCTGCAGAATGCTTGTCACAAACGTCAGTGATCTATTTCTTATTTCTAGATATTATATAGTTATAAAATAAAGTGTGTAACATAAATATTTTAAAATGGCGCATTTTTTAATTTTGACTTGTGTTCTTAGGTAGGTCGAAATATAGTCAAAATATAATCTAATTCTATGTATGAAATAGAGTTAGATATTGTCCACTCTTACTCAATACATTTTATCAGTCGAATTTAACTTCACTAGTCTGAATATCAGCTAGTAAGTTTGTCATACGTTAAACAGAATTCAAAAAAAAGTCTCAGACAAGTTTAATGAATAGGAAATATCTTTTTATTGAAAGACGAAAGTAATAACAAATAACAAAAAGCTTTTTCAGTGTAAGATTAAGTCCAGCAAGTTTGGAGTACAGTAAGTCTGTTTATGTAGGTAACTAGGTGGTCTTATACGAAGTCATAATCTCAATGTGAATACAGTTTCATCAAAACTGTGAATGCCTTAAGAGGAGATGAAATTGCAGTCAAAACAAAATTGAACGAGCATTGTTCAAAGATTATAAATGCAAAATCAAATTAAAAGGAGTAAGGACTTTTCTATTAAGAGGCATCGAATCCAGTAGGATTAACAACCTTGTGCACATTCTAACGATTTATCTCTATTTTATCAAAAGATCAAAAGTAAGGGAACCATGAGATATAACTAATAATTTGGAATATATTTGGAATAACAGTCTGTTATTATTATATTATTTCCTTTAATTCCTAGAGGAACATAGGTCTTCAACCAAGCGTCTTCATTGCGTTCGGTTCTCTGCCAACGTTTTCACCCCCACTCCAAGTCTGCCAACATGCTTTCATCTCCTCTTCACATGACATCCTCCAAGTCACCTACACACTGACGATCAACTCGCCGCTTCCCTTTCGGCCTGGTTCCAGTCGAGCGATGGCTTGTCTAGTGATGTCACTTGATGGTTTCCTCAGCGTATTGCTAATCCATCTCCATTTCTTCCTGCCTATTTGCTTCACAATCGGTTCCTGGTTGGTTCGCTCCCAGAGATCCATCCCTATTGCTGATCTTTTCTGGCCATCTGATCTTGATTAGTATTGAGTGAATACAGCTGTTGATGAAGGTCTGTAGTTTGTTTGAGGTGCACTTTATGACGCTTGGTCTTTGACTTATGACTTTGGTCAACTTCAGCACGATAAAACAGTCTATACAACAACGAGTGAATTGTAATTCAGAGATTCGTGTTCTAACATCTCTGAAAGTCATAGCATTTGCCATTACTCATGAGAGACGAACTCAGCTTATGCTTGGAAGATACAATCCAAATAACTGCTCAGCAGGTAGTGATGAAATGGCTTCAACACTTATCTTCACTGTACAGACAGGCACTCTTCCAAAGTAAAGACCAAGGAGTATGGAAATGACGATGAACATAGTCACAAAAAAGTAAATGACCTGACTGTGAATATATCAACAGATACTTTATAAACAAATTTCATTCCAGCGTAGAAATAGATTACGTGAAGATTGAATGAGAGAAACGTTTTGGTGGAATTAAGTAGTCATTAACCGGTTATCAGCACTGAGTAGTAGATGTGCTATTACAGTGGACAAAGACAAGTTGAATATGAGATGAAATGAAAATGAACTGTATTACTACTGGAAAAATATGAAATGCTCCCTGAGATGCCTAAAATAAGGCACAATATCTAGTTTCCTCCTAATTTAAATAACCCTGAACGTGGGCGGTTCAGAGGTAGAATGCTCGCCAACCACGCACATGGTCAGCAGTTCGATCTCGGTCGATGCACTCCTAAACCTTGGTAAGCTGGTAGTAGGCCTGGTAGAAAATGGAGGTTGAACGTGAGGCTAGCCAATCCACGCCGGAAAAATAAGACCCCCACTACCGAAATTACAGAGATTTAGCTTGAAACCCTATGTTCCACTCAGGACGTATGGGAATAAAGTTTTTTAAAATTTAATAACCCTAGAATGATACTTGTTTATGACGAAAACTAAACAGTTCTTCTGAGGTCAATTAGAGATGTCCACGTGTCTTTTTATTCAAAAATATATATTCTCGTAGATTATTCAACCCATGATTTCGTCAAGAAATGACCATATACTGATAGTTTGATCTACCAATAAAACATAGATTTTTCGGAATAGTGATTAGTTTAAATGGGCTTCTTCACGAATTCTCTAAAGCTTGTTGGCCAGAATTTTGCACCACATACTTTAAATTCGTACGCCATTCATTGACTGCTTTTACCCACTAATTAAAATCACACAAGTAAAAGGATGCTACTTACAAAAACCATATGACACGTGCATCTTTAGTGATTTCTAGCCAGGCCTACTGAAATCTTTTATATGCTTTTACAAAACACAATAAAAATAACAGTGTTGAGATTTAGGGTTAGTCATTTTTGTAGATCTTTATACTAAGTTGCTCAACAAACTGAAGAATGGTGAAACTAAGTTCTGCATAAAACTGCCAGCGGATAAAATGGTTTTCGAAAAATTCAATTTAAATGTGTATCCTGCCTGGATGACAACGTCACGCTTCATGTTAACACAGTTAGTATATTGACATTTGACAATTGCTTCAGGAAAATTGATATGGCTTTGATAAATTTTGTTTATTTAACAATGAAAAACCTTATCACTCTACCTCACTTAAGTCTGGTAATTTGAGAAATAACCATAGATTTTTCTGTCTTCATACATTCATTCATTGAATGACTTCATGTTGACAGTTACTGCTCTCATCATTGGAAAGATCAAATAAGTCTTTCCTTGCACTTCTCCAATATACAAGTGGGTAAAACGGTAATCTTTATTCTATTCAAAATTTGTTACTTGACTTTATCCGCATATTAAATAGAAAATAATTGATCAACCAGCCTTCTCTAAAGGTTCTTATCGACCAAGTCTGGGCAAATAAACTGATATTGTATGAAGTCAGTGGTACAACAACCTATATACACAACATGCAAGCTGACTGCACTGACACCACGCTTTATTGCAGATTGATTGGTGACCTAGTTACTTTAACAGCTGATCAATAGTCCGAAAAAAATGCAGAAGCTGAGTGATATAATATAAATGACACAATGCAATGAACTCGGACTGTTTAAGCGCATTAAATATTTTGAAATCACAATGCTGTTGGTGCTGCTAACAAAGGATTACACTCACGATACTAGCTAGTGCTTCATCAGAGTATCTAGTACAGTCCAGCAGGATGGTCAGTCGTGTGCCCGAATAGTTCAGTGGTAGAATCTCTGACTGCAGTATTGAATAACGTGGTTTTGAAACTCAGAAAGGACACGAGTTACTGAAGATACACCTTGCAGACTGGTGAGTGCCAACAAGCACGAAACCTAGGTTCAAGGCATCCTGCTGATTGCTTCTAACTATCTAAAAACAACAGTTCACATTGCACTGTGATGGTGAGCCACCTAGTATGGTGGCCACAGTGCAAACGTGACTGACAGAATTCGGTCTCCAATAAACAAAAGACTAAATGCATGATATCAGTGAATACGTACATATTTCATAAAAGAAAGCAATCATTAATTCCCTAGAAAACTGGAGCTATTTAGAAGCAATATTATATTCAAGTCAGAAACAGTGGAACAGGGCGTTTTGATGCCTTCACTGAACTGGTTCAAAATACTTATACAAAACATTATGGATAATTAGGAACGTTTTTCGAATATATACCGGCTTCCACAGAATTGTAATCCTTTTTCCAGAAAATGGATATAATGATGGCTGCACAGAACAAAATTACCAAATAAAACAGATTCTGTGTAATTCTCATGCAGATTTTGAATGCTGATTTGTCATATAGTAAGTTTTTGTACCATATTCTGAAGAAAGTAAAAATTATTTGGTGTCTTGACTTAGAATATATCACTTAAAAATGAATAAAAACGAGACCTGATTTTTCCAGAGCACCGCTGAGCTGTACATTAGCGTTTACCGATCAGGAAGGTATTAAGACTGCAAAATTACTTCTGACAGAAGTAAATTATGCGTTATTTAGTGACGATTTTTGATTTGAGAATAAAATAATGCTTCAGTAATGAACTACCTCATAACGGACAGCCTAATTACGAATGCCGTGAATTCACAATATTTTCTTATCGATTTTTGTGACTATTCGCTGTTTCAACCTCAATAGCCAAAATAGTTTCAGAAAGTGTACTAAATTATGTACTTGACTGCACTGTAACGGATGAAACGACAAATGTCTTCTCAGGTGTAAAAGAGGTGTAGCTGAACTGTGCATCAAGATCACTGATACAGGAGAAATCAGTTTAGAGGTTACGGATAAGATGCGTGTTCCATCAAGATCTTTAATTTCGTTTCCTCAGTGTTTGTGACAAAATGGCTTTGGAAATTCACACTCAACTAGACATCAATCCAGAGAAGCAAACATTCACCTAGTGATGCCATTTGACTTCAGTTACTACCTTTAAATCTACAGTTCCCCAAATACTTCAGTTCTACATCTGAATTGATTAGATAAACATCTTTTCTTTATGGAGATTGGTTAAACGTTTTGGATGTATTTCCAGTTGATGTCAAGTGTAAACAGCATATGGTTAGAGTATGAGACAAATCTCAAAATAAAGATTCATTTTGCTTCTCTTTTATTTCTTAAC